TTTACCGTATAGTTTGCTCTTGAATTGGATTGGATTGATTGGATTCAGAATTGGCTGATCCTTAGAAGACAAAGGGTGGTAGTGGACGGAAAATATTCAACATGGTGCTCAGTTACGAGTGGTGTACCACAAGGATCTATTCCGGGTCCACTTTTATTTCTGATTTTTGTAAATGATTTGGATGTAGGAGTAGAAGAGTGGATTAGTAAGTTCGCGGACGATACGAAGGTGGGTCGCGTTGTGGACAGTGCGGAGGACTGTTCTAGGTTACAAAGGGACATTGATAGGATGCAGAGCTGGGCTGAGAAGTGGCAGATGGAGTTTAACCCTGAAAAGTGTGAGGTGATTCATTTTGGAAGGACAAACTTGAAAGCAGAATACAGGATTAACGGAAAGATTCTTGGCAGCGTGGAGGAGCAGAGGGATCTTTGGGTTCATGTCCACAGTTCCCTGAAAGCTGCCACCCAGGTGGATAGAGTTGTTAAGTAGGCGTATGGTGTGTTAGCTTTCATTAATAGGGGGATGAGTTCAAGAGCCGTGAAGTTATGCTCCAGCTATACAAAACCCTGGTTTGGCCACATCTGGAGTATTGTGTTCAGTTCTGGTCGCCTCATTACAGGAAAGATGTGGAAGCGTTGCATAAGGTGCAGAGGAGATTTACCAGGATGTTGTGTGGAATGGAGGGAAGGTCTTACGAGGAAAGGTTGAGAGACCTCGGGCTTTTCTCTTCAGAACTACGAAGGATGAGAGGTGACTTGATGGAGGTGTACAAAATGATCAGAGGTATAGATAGACAGCCAGAGACATTTTCCTAGGGTGAAGGTAGCTATTACGAGGGGGCATAGTTTTAAAGTGAGTGGAGGTAGATATCGGGGAAACGTCAGAGGTAGGTTCTTTACTCAGAGAGTGGTAGGGGCGTGGAATGCATTGCCGGAGACGGTCATGGAGTCGGCCTCAGTAGGGGCATTTAAGTGGCAATTAGATAGGCATATGGATGATAGTATAAGGTAGGGGTGGAGGTCCGATAGACCTGAGGTTTACGGTAAAAGTTCGGCACAACATCGTGGGCCGAAGGGCCTGTACTGATCTATGTTCTGTGTTCTAATTAAGCAAATTGGAAAACTGACGTGTATGTTTGTGATGAATTTACTTTGCACACTGGAATATCCAACCTTTTGCCTTTGCAGGTTGCAAAGTATGCACATCATATTTTGGAGAAGAACAAATCTCTTCAGTTCAAACTGTTTTGAGTGTGTTTCTTCCAATGTCTAGCCACCTCTTTGGCTCACCAGGGACTTATTTCCTATTATTTGTCCATCATTGCTGAATCGTTCTCTAAAATTTAAAGCAGAGTGCACATTCGAAGAGATGGATGATATTCAGAATCATTGTACAAGATGATGTGATTTCTTCAAACAGGATCCCTGATGTGTGATTTTCATCAGTGATGGCCAAGTAGCTTACTCCACAGTTAAACCAGACATTGACTAATGTAAAATGCTGGAGTGGAAGGAGGAATCCCTCGGCTTCTGGTCTTCTGTTTATCTTGTTCTGCACCCTATCATTGTGTCTTCATGCCTGTAGGACATATTTTTAAATTCATTCACACAGAGTCATAGAGTACTATAGCATGGAAACAGGCCCTCCGGCATTCATCCCATTTACGTTCCTCATGATTTTTTTACACAATATGGTCACGCCTCATTTCCCTACATTCCAAGGAATAAAGTCCTATCTTGGCCAACCTCTCCCTATAACTCAGGCCGACTCGTCCTGGCAACATCTTCGTAAATGTTCTTTGCACATTTCCAGTTTAACTATGTCTTTCCTATAACAGGGTGGCCAAAACTGTACACAATACTCCAAGTGCAGCATCGCCAAAGACTTATACAACTGTAACATACTGTCCCAACTCCAATACTCAATGCCTCGAATGATGAAGGTCAGCATGCTAAATGCCTTCTTCACCACCCTGTTCATCTGTGATGTCACTTTCAACGAACCATGTACTTCTATTCCAGATCCCTCCGTTCCACAACATTCCTCAGGACTTTTCCATTTACTGTAGAAGTCCGACCTTGGTTTCACTTTCCAAAGTGCAGCACCTCACACACATCTGTATTAAATTGCATTTGCCAATTCTCAGTGCACTTCCCTATCTGATCAAGATCTGATCATTGTCTGAGTGTACTGATATTAAGAAGAGTTTGTTGCTGCCAGCTGATGTTCGTGTATTCTGATAACTAGTTTCCTCCCTGTCTGTCCGATGTAATGTTTGTGGCAGTCAGTGCGTGGTATTTTGTAAACCACGTTGGCTCTGCATGTTGTGGGAATGGGGTCTTTAATCCTTGTAAGTGTTTGTCGTAGAGTGGCTGTGGGCTTGTGGGCCACCATTATTCCTAGTGGTCTTGGGAGTCTTGTTGCCAGTTCCGATATGGTCTTGATGTGGGACAGTGTGGCCAGTGTGTTAGGTCATATTGTGTCCTCTTGTTGTTGTCTGTTTTGTAGGCATCTGTGGATGAAGTTGCGGGGATATCCATTTATGGCGAGGATTTTGTATAGGTGCTCTTCCTCTTTCCTGTGTAGTCCCAGGGTGTTGCAATGTGTCATGATCCATTTAAATAGTGCCCTAATAATGCAGCTTTGTTTGTGGGCGTTGGGGTGGTTGCAGTGGAAGTTGAGGATTTGATCAGTGTGAGTTGCTTTTCTGTAAACTGAGGTTTGGAACTCCCTGTTGGTCAAACATTCAACCCTGATGTCCAGAAACAGAAGTTGATTGTTGTTTTCTTCTTCCCTTGTGAATTTAATCCCTGCGAATGCACTGTTGATGAGGTGGTGGTCTCTTCAGAGATAGTAGGAACTGCAGATGCTGGAGAATCCGAGACAACAAGGTGCAGGGCTGGATGAACACAGCAGGCCAAGCAGCATCATAGGAGCAGAGAGGCTGACGTTTCGGGCCTAGACCCTTCATCAGAAAAGGGGGAGGGGAAGGGGATTCTGAAATAAATAGGGAGAGAG